CACACACAACACACACACACACACCACACACACACACACACACACACACACACGATCTCGCTCTTTCCTTTTCTCTGCCTTCTCTCTCCTTCTATTCATAATATATATATATATATATATATATATATATATATATGTGATGTGCATACATATACGTTTATGTAGAAAATCTAAAGGTCTACTTTTTCGACAGATGTGTAAGAAGTAAAGGGCTGTAGTTGCGCCCAATGCCACCAGTATATCCACAAGAGCCTGCAACATCTTGATGCCAATCCCATGAAACGCGTGGAATTGCAGCAATTCTATCTTACCACCAAAACATGTTTAGCAAATCATTGTTTTGTACAGGGGCTGCGACATGAGCCCCTGACCAGGCACAAGGGGCCCGGCATTTCGCGGCTATGGGATTAAGGTTGGCGGAGGCAGGCTGGGAAAGAGCTGGTGGGAAATTCCGCCACCAGTGTGGGCTGTCACCGCGGCACGGCTGCTCTGCACGGAGGCCCGCCTTCAGGGTTTTCGCAGGTGCTCGGCGGGGACTCCCGTGGGCATTGATTGATTGGTGCATTGATTTGCGCTTGTAAGCGAAAATATCGTAACAGTGGTGGCATGATCCGCAACGGCATTCGGAGGCTGTGGCGCTCGCATGGAGTTCCGTCAGCAGACTTTTGCTGGATAGCCCTAATCATATCACACTTTGTATATTCAAACAAGCCTCTAGATGCTCTCACCCGTAAGATAAGATGCATTTACGATCTATAGAGAATGTTTCTTTGAATGTTAAACATATAATCCCAGCAATAACTAGGCTAAGATGGGCCTGAAAAACAGCGACAAGCTTATAGGTACGGTCTTACCAGCTCAGCGGGCTTATTTATCAGGTCGGCATTTCATCTCGTCGGCTTGCATTCCGTGTGACAATGCATTCCCAAAACCCCGCTGTGGTGACGCCGCTGCAAGATCTTCCTGTTTAGTGTTTTAACCGCGACTGCGAGCGGCCACCACCCAGCTGCATGGCCGAGCAGGAAGCCGAGAGCACGGCTTTTGTTCCTGCTGGGCGGTGGCACCATACCGGAAAACGGCCCTGGCCGAGCACGCATGGGGGAAGACGAAGGGAGCTGCTGCAGCCCGCACCACGTCACGGGAACCGCAGACGGCTGGGCGGGTCAGGCAGCAAACAAAGGGGTCGAGCGCGTTGACCCCGGAATGCCCCCCGACGGCGGCGCCAGCGTACACCCAGCGTACACCCCAGCCGCGCGTACACCCAGCGTACACCCCAGCCGCGCGTACACCCAGCGTACACCCCAGCCGCGCGTACACCCAGCGTACACCCCAGCCGCGCGTACACCCAGCGTACAACCCCAGCCGCGCGTACACCCAGCGTACACCCCAGCCGCGCGTACACCCAGCGTACAACCCCAGCCGCGCGTACACCCAGCGTACACCCCAGCCGCGCGTACACCCAGCGTACACCCCAGCCGCGCGTACACCCCAGCCGCGCGTACCCAGCGTACACCCCACCGCGCGTACACCCAGCGTACACCCCAGCCGCGCGTACACCCAGCGTACACCCCAGCCGCGCGTACACCCAGCGTACACCCCAGCCGCGCGTACACCCAGCGTACACCCCAGCCGCGCGTACACCCAGCGTACACCCCAGCCGCGCGTACACCCCAGCCGCGCGTACACCCAGCGTACACCCCAGCCGCGCCAGCGTACACCCCAGCCGCGCGTACACCCAGCGTACACCCCAGCCGCGCGTACACCCAGCGTACACCCCAGCCGCGCGTACACCCAGCGTACACCCCAGCCGCGCCAGCGTACACCCCAGCCGCGCCAGCGTACACCCAGCGTACACCCCAGCCGCGCCAGCGTACACCCAGCGTACACCCCAGCCGCGCCAGCGTACACCCCAGCCGCGCCAGCGTACACCCAGCGTACACCCCAGCCGCGCCAGCGTACACCCAGCGTACACCCCAGCCGCGCCAGCGTACACCCCAGCCGCGCGTACACCCAGCGTACACCCCAGCCGCGCTGCAGCTGATCCAAGGCACGCGCAACGTCGCTGCACTGCCTACGCCGGGATCATTCGCGAGTGAGCAAACGTAACAAGCGTAAACGCGTGGCATTGGGTCATTTAACCCTCGCCCCGATTCATTGCTTTTTCATCACGCGGTGTGATGTGGGCCAGGGGAGGCGATGCGGCCTCTTGCCGCTTTCAAACTAAGGAAGATGGAGCCTGGAAAAAACAGTAGTAGATTGGTTTCAACAATATCTCGTGATCGGTAACACTTTTTATATTTCTATGCTAATAATGGGCCAGATTATGTCAGGTCGAAGGAAAATTTTTCCTCAAAATATAACTTGCGTGAGCCTTACATGTTGAACCAAGTACACGACCTCGACTTGAAACAACACAAAACCTAAACAGGGGTGTTTCTTGTGGAAAGAAAAGTGCAATGACATCTAGTATATGCCTTTTCAGCATATATCTATAATTTTATGATGCGGGTCTCCGTTCATGTAACAGTGATAGCCGCCGCGCGCGGTCCGCGGGATCGTCGGCTACCGCCCGCCACCCGCGCCGACCGCAGATCGCCGAGCAGTGCTCCCAAAAAACTGCCGCTTCTCCGAAACCGTAAATGCTAAGCGCACGCTTGTGGTGTCAAAACACGCACATTGGATGCCTTATAGCCTGATGAAAATTGTGACCGCGATTACACGCCATGCCGGAGAGGTGTCCATAGAAAACCTTAGGGAGCCTTCAGGAAACCTTGGGGAACGCTCAGAAAAGCCTAGGAAACCCACAAAAAATCTTAGGGATGGGGGTCGCATCGACCACCCCCCGCCATCAGGGGAGGGTTGAGGTGTCAGCAGTAAGTCTAGTCGGTTGCTGCACCGCCCACTTGCGGGGCATCACCGCAGTTGAGGGAGTAAGTCCGCTGACATGCCCCTGTTTGACGCGTGCCCATCCCATCCTCCTCCGTCTGCCGCGGAGACTCGCCTGTCTGTCCCTCCGGTCCCTGCTCGCACTGGCCAGGTCAGGCGGGTGAGGACCGGCCAGAATCAGACAGGTCGGGGTCGGCCAGGTTCAGACCGTTGCCCTAGGCTGTGGGGAGCAGGCAGTCGCCCCCCCCCCCTCCACAGCGGTCGGTCACGTTCCAGTAGACCGCTTCATTGTTTTCTCAGTCAGCACAGTCCTGACAAGCGGTCTGCTGTCATTCAGCATGTGCTTAAGGCTATCGGTTACAGAATCAAGCCCGGCCGTGGCGATGAGCGTAATCCACCCATGCACAAGGGTGGGCCGCTGCCGAAGAAGCCCATCCGGGAATCATGCTGCGACCTTGCGACTTGTTTCGATGGCGCGGATGTCTGCAAGTGAAGCACAGAAAACAGAGTCCTTCCTTGGCGCTTCTGCTACATCTGCATGGCATAACTGTCAATGGTGCGCCGGTGGTCTTAATGAGAAACAAGGGGTCGGATGGGACAGTAACTTACGTACGTGATCTAAGATGGAATGCCATCTTGACGAGGCGTGTAAAGTATCGACGACACAGCATGCCTCTGGAACAATTGCCCGTGACAAATAAATTCTGACATGCTCAAAGAGGGATGGCACTTCTAAAACAATGAGAACATGCATGTGCAGATGGAGACATTCCTTTTTTTGCTGGGTCGGCCTGCTCAACCAGTCGTCCCCGCAAACTACATCTGTGGATACAGCTCAGCAGCATAGTCACAAGCACGCGTTAAATCTTACTGGTGTCATTTTCTGTTTAAGTGCCATTTTGTATGATCAAAATACAGACCTAGCCGGTCTGCCCGGAACTCTCTGAGGCCCGGGCGCCGCCGACCCCAGTAGCGGTCACGCCCCCAACGAGCGTTTCCCGCAGCAACATACACACTGACGGCTGAGAACCATCAACCATCGATATGGCACGCCTCGTTTTAGCCCGTTCTTTGCAATGATATCGATAAATGATTCGTTTTCTTCCCGAGCAGTCTCAGTGACCTGCACGAACTGCAGCTGAAAGTTTGCAGTGACGGATTGTCATTACGTCAGCCATTGACTTTTACAGGCATGTACAATTACACGCAATCAAGGAAATGCTATTAAAGCTACAATAGACTAAAGAATGTTCGCTAGGCCCTACGCCCACGTAAGCAGAAAAGGGGAAGCTGGAGCATTCAATGTCAATCGAGTTTCCGGGAAAGGAAAGGACGCCAACAAAAAAGGGCACAAGAGGTTGCACCGCAGGTTGTAAAGGCGTTTTGCCATTTATCTCAGCGTATTTTCAACGTTCAGGACAAGGCAATAGCAACAGTATAATAATGGAATACTAATATTGTAAATAATAATTGTAATTGCAATAATGTAATATATATGTAATGCAAATAATAAAATAATTGTAAATATTGTAAATAGCAATATTTCATTATGTTAGAACATAATATAATAATTGATCATCGGTGTTGCGACTATCAGGTCGCCAAATTTGTGGACATCTCCTTGGAAGGGTTGGTCCTGTCCTTTTGATAAAAGAAAACAAGTCAAAAATGCATTTGTGATGTCAATGACGGATTTCCGATGACCAATAACCGACTAATCGCAGGAAAAATATTCGTCATCTGACCGAAAGCTGCTTTAAACAGAAATCGATCTAACACACCGGTAATGAGGTCACGAACTGACCGGATGGCAGGCGGACGGGCGGCCCCTCATTTCCACAACCGGACACCGGACACTCCAGACACTCTGGACGCTCCAGACACTCCGGGCACTCCAGCCACGTTCGTCTCAATTCGCCTCGTGTTCGGCCCATACAGAGACCGGACGCCGTTGACAAATCTTGTGGAACTCCTCCGGGACTTCCACGACGGTGCTCAGTCACCGCGCCCGCCCGGCCATGACGTCACGGTCAGGCGTGACGTCACGGCCAGAGGCGCCGTCCGCCGGCATCAGAGCCCGGCAGCGGTGGAGCTCAGTTTTCGCGTCGCCCTCACCCGGACAGGTCTCTCCAGTGAGCCCCGCAGCCAGGAGCCGGTCGCCTCCAGCCAACATCGGCAGCAGGAGAGACGAGTGGCGAGCGCGCGGCAGCAGGAACAACAGCGGCGGCGCGATGATCGCGGTAGGTCGGCTGGCGAGAGCGCCGCGGCAGCAACACGCGGCAATGGTTTCGGTGTTGACGTGTGATCGATCATATTTGACCGGTCTTCTCACCCAGTTGGCTTGCGGGGATGTGCACGGTTCAGGGTCTCCTTGCCTGGCAACGGAGGACATCCGCTGCACTTGTCCCGGGACCAGTTTACGTTAACAGACAGCTGAAAAGGGCGTCTCGGGCGTGTTGTGTGGGCACTAGCCAGAGAGACCCACCAACTACATTTATCACCAAATATATCCAGCTGCCCTAGCAGTAGTGCAAAACAGCACAGGGCAACGGCAAACGGCTCGCCGGTCCGAAGTCATCTGAGTGTTATCCAACCGAGACAATGAGTGCGGCGGCTTCCAAGCCCGTTTCCCCAGCCCGGAGCCCGTTCCCGCTCCCGCTCCCGTTTCAGAGTTCGCGGCAGGTTCCGTTTCCTTCGGTATGAACATTTATCTGTGAACTGTCTCCCACCTGTCACACAGCTTGCAGCGACTGCCATTAAACAAGCGTCAAAATGCCTTTCATATTTTCTAAGATACTGATGTGTAAACGCCGATATATGTTACTCATCCTTAACTTTTCAGCCGACTTGTATGATACGTGAAATGCGAGGAGATAGTGCAATAGGATTAGTATGACCCAAAATGTCAAAGCGGTATACAAGTGTCTACATTTGGTGATATATCCATTGCAACGAAAGTGTATATCCACAGTTTGCAGAATGAAATGCCAAGCGTGGTATACAAGCCACGGATTCCTTTAGCAAGAAACCATTCACCTCGCTTGATTGCATTCTTTTCGACAAGCTCGTCAATAATTTGCACCATGCAGCATTCTCCGGACATTGTCTTTATGCAACGTCACACTAAGACGAGGCAATAAAACTGCGGCATCACCAGTTTTAAAAGATGCTAGTTCATGCTTATGAAAATGGAAAAAGTACCACCAACAACCAAGCAGTCTATTACACAGCCGAGCACACGCGAAACTTCAAATAGCACCACAAAGCTGCATGAAACTGCGATGAGCTAGTGCAAAAATATTGTCTTGAGAAGATCGTGAAGGCCGATTCGGGTCGGGTGGATCCGGGCAGCACAAGCTCATTTTTCCGTAACTGAGAATGGAAACCCAGCCCATGGTCACCATCGCACTGAAAGACGTTATTTCCGTATCGTCTCACGCACCATGTCAGTCGAAGCCCCGGATCAAACTAGCTGCAAATTACGTAGTGCCCAAGCGGTTGCCGAAACTCAAGCGCTTGTATCTGTTTGCTTTCTGCTTGCCACCTGGGTCTAAATGCATCATGCCATCTAAAGTTTCCATTGTACTTAACATTTTGTCGACTGACTTTCTTGCCCCGCCTTTCTACCGCAACACTAGTGCTCTTGAGCATCACTGCACGACTCTCATATCAGCACTAATTTACCGAGCGTCAGCTGATCCCATGGTCTCTGCCGTGTACCGCAAGCGGCTGCCTTGTGCAAGCGGCTCAGTTATTGCACCAAGGTCGCCGCGCTGACCCGGCCCGCGGGCGACTGACGCCGTCCCCTCCGAGCTGTCACGAGCGCGCCGGCCGCACGACCTCGTGCCGTGGCGTAACGCCGCCGCCGCACGTGACGCGTGCTGTTTCAGTCCCCGTCTGCGGCAAACGCGGCGACGGCGGTCCGCGTCCCGGCGCGGACCCCTTACCGCGTCTCGTGGCTCGCGCAACGCCCGCGTGCGGCGCGCCCGACCGATCTGCATTGGCTACACGCAGTCTCGATGGTGGAGGATAGGCGGATGCGTCCGCTCGTGCGTACACACGTGCAAGAAGTGTCCTTGCCTGGGCACAAAGGCTATGTGGGGTAGATATGGCGATGCGTGTGTTAGGGAAAGAATGAAATGCAGCCCGTCAGGAATTTTACCCATATTCCCTAATCCTCACCTGCCACCAGTGCTCTAGACAGTTGTCTTTGGTATACGCTGTGAAGCAGTATAATTATTTTTACCACTGACGTGTTTGCAAGCCTGGCAATGTAATGGAGCAGCTTCTATGTGAAGATGGGCGTGGGCCATATGTAAGGCGTGATATGCAGATCGTGCTCGCGGCGCCCAAACGGTATGCTGAGTGGTTTTGCAGCTTTTCTCCACTCTTTCCTCCTGTCTCCAATGGCAGTTATCTCAACTGTTGCGCCATGTCAGCACCGTTAAGCATGACTTGGCTTAGACTACACAACCAGGCCAAAGCGCGGCTTAGCAAGTCATGGTTGGAAGGATTACCGGACTTTTGTGCACAGAGTATGCACCGTGTGTGGCTCGAATTTCGCAACGGCTGTAAAATTATAACTGTTTCAAGTATTTCCTTCCAGGGCTGCTTATTACTTTGATCCGATCCATCGAAAAGCAAGATGGTACACTAGCAAACAGATCTAGAAGCCTAACCAATGCAGTCTGACAAAACGTACGGCACTACTCCTTCGTGGCGTACACACCCTTCACGTACTCACTTTCGCTGGCTTCCGTATCTCTGACGTTGCCAAGACGTGACACCACGCGGCTCGCCGTCTCGCTGTCTTGCGGTTTGTGGTCGGCAGCGTGCGTGACCTTTGGTCCGATGTCACTCACCTGGTGACGGTCTGTAGCCGCAGCCGTGGCCGGCGGCGCGTCACGGTCTGGGGTTGTGACGGAGCACTGGGGCGTCACAAGCCTAATACTCGGTCGATGGCTTTTTCGCGTTGTTCGCGCCCGTTCCCAATTGCAAAGATAATCCACATGGTGTCAGGCAATTCACAATTCATGTAAAAAGCTGTATGTGTTTTCTTTGCGGCACAGCACCAGCTTTCGTTGTCTTTGTAAAGCAGGATTGCATTTCAAAATTTGCAGCACCTTGTATGCTATTTCTAGTTATGTGCTCAAGCTATAAGTAGTGTTTATGGGATGGAAAATGTTGGAACATGTTTGTTGAGCCACAGAGCTGTACGCAGCAGTATTTCAAGCACATGAGACCTAAAACTGTTTTGTTTGATGATATACGGTTGAGATTTTATGATAATGATTAACACATGAGCACATGAGATCTAAAACTATTTTGTTTGATGATATACGGTTGTGCTTTTATGATAATGATTAACATATGAGCATATGAGACCCAAAACTGTTTTGTTTGATGATATACGGTTGCGCTTTTATGAATATGATTAACTGGAGGGCGTCATTTGAAATCAAACCGTGGGTTGTTTGAAAATAAAGCAAAACCAGCAAAACGAAACCGGTGGAAATGTACAGCAAGACAGAGACGTGTCTTGCGATGCGATTTCCTTTAGTGTGCTTCAGCCTTGTGTGGTGTAGACATTTATGAACGTATTTCTATCATCAGGCTTTTAGGGTTTGACTTGCAGACTAACACAACAGCTCTCACCCACACCATTCGCTCATTTCCCCTCAAAATTGAAGCTGGGGGGGGGGGGAAGCTCGAGCCCCACTGATAACAAAGGCACCTCTGATAACAACAATCATTTAGAAGTTTCTGTAATTACTCATCATATTTGGACAAATTCGCCCACACATGAACACACATTATTCAAAAATGTGAACAATTGCAACGGCTCAACAGGCTGTATGCAATGCATACAACTGCGGCTCGCAATGGCCGCGGACATAGGCCTCCGCAAGCGTGTCAAAAGTGAAGTTACGTCTTTGTCCGACCGCGGTGTCAGGTTTTTTGGGGGTCCCGTATCAGGCTTTTCTGTATTCGTCGGCACTCTTCGCAGTTTCAGATGCTTGGAGACATCAGACACGGAATAAAAGCAAAAATTAAACGGCATGCTATTGTCTTCAGCCAGCCACGTAATCGCGCCCGAGCTGTTCAAAGCTGGTGTTCATGGATCTTAAATCCCGGAATTTCCTCCTGCCTATGCAGCGAAGCATTTCTCGTAATGACGGCCAGCTATCTGAGGGTTTGCAACAGAATGACGAGCACATCCGGGACTAGGTCTCTGTGCCATGCAGGCTCGTCGTGTCCCCAACTATCACCGAGTCCATGCAGGGTTCTCTTCCAAGATGTGCATGCTTTTCGCCCTCAGAATACCTAGCACACGTCTGAGATGGAAAGCGATCTTCACGACCTCGGAAATCCTGAACCCACAGCCTGCCTGCACCCTCAATCTTGCACGAAGTTAGTACAGTCGTGAGCAATGACGCCGTCTGGCATGGTGGCTGAAAAGAAAGCAATTTGTCTTGGTCCAACCCCATTTTGCATCTTACATGGGTCTCAGACGCTGAAATTTGTATCGCCCCCTCCCCTAAAACGCATGCATCTTCGATTTTCCAGACTGAAAGATGTATTTATGGTACGTTATACGCCATATCATTGGATTGCTTCGGGTAGTCACACGTGGAATTCCACCACATTGACACAGTGTGCTACCTCGAAATGTTGAAATAACTTCCTTGGAGCCCATTAAATGATGTACCATGAAGCGTCATCCGAAGCTAGGTTTTCCGTAGCTGAGCGAGTGTCGGTCTTGTGATTTGTAAAATATGTAAGCATGAATAACCAATCATTGGTAAAGCTCACGACAGCTGTAAACGAGTTTGCCTCCTCTTGGAAAGCTTAGCCAATCTGCCGAACTACCGGGCTATGTCCCGAAACATTTTGATACGACACACGCGAAGTATCTTTGAGTTTCGTTGCTCTAACAGGTTTTTACTCGGTTTTCATACATTCTGTCTGCGGGAAAACATTTGTTATTGAAAACGTAGGACGAAGGGACATGCTCCGATGATGGACATGGTAGATGCATTTTTGCACACTTTTCTCTTAGTGCTACAATCCTTTTGCAAAGTTTTGGTCTTAACATAGATGCCGTGAGATCTGAGCAAGCAGCAGTGGTACTTCGATTGCGACAGCATTTTAGTCCATGGAGTTATAGTCGAAGCCAAGGCACAAAATTAGTGTCATTTCAGTTGTTTGTGGTCTGTTCGAAACCGGAATGCGCTGCTTT